TTTCTTTCTTTCTTTCTTTCTTTCTTTCTTTCTTTCTTTCTTTCTTTCTTTTTCTTTCTTTCTTGTAGGTAGCATTTTCTTGCAAATAATTTGGTGTGATTGAATTAATCTGTTTTATGTTACCATATTTATCCACCTGACATTATTTATAAAAATAACTATATATTATCTCCTTGGAAAAACATTTAGGTTGTTCTCCAATCTGAGCATAATTACTGAATTAACTCATCCTGCCAACATGAGATTCATGCAGTTCAGGGCCAAAGACTGTTATTCTCTTGCTCTATCAAAATTAGAAAAGGTAAGAAAGCTTCATATATATATAAAGCTTCAAATATATGTAATTTATTGACACTCAGATGCAGTTGTCTTTTTTAATTTGTCCTGGAAACTGATAATTCAAAATGTTCTATGCTATAAAATTACAGATGGGAAACTAAAGAAAAATGGCCAAGAATGAGTCTGTAACAACTTCTTCCCCAAAGATGAAATTATAGGAAAGCAATCGGTAAATCTTGTCGTAGTGTTGGTGTGTGCAGGATTCTCTACTAGGCCTAGTAAAAATCATCAGCTCTTTTCTGAGAACCTTTTAATCCCCATCATCATGCTGAGTTATTAAGTATTAATTCTGCCATTTTAAATACAGAGAATATCATGCCCACTGCAAATGAGAGTCAGTAAGCATATAGTAACTAACCTAAAACTGAAATGGTCAAAGTACATGGCGGAGCAATACGTTCCAACAGCAATTACAGCAGTTGTTGTTAGCAAACACCAAGCAAAAAATAAAGATAAACTGAAACTATCCATGTTTTAAATCATGATCAAGGAATAAATTCTTATACTGCAAATAATCAGGAGAGATATAACATGATTCTTGTCTGAGCCCTGAAAGAAACCTTTCTTGAGGCAATGAGTATCTTCCACATACATAAAAGTGCATGTCGCTTTCAAAAAGAAAGTGAAAAGAATGTGCAAAATTTGCAGAATTAATGATACTGATAGTACAGCCTAAGTGCTGCAAATGAAACAGGTAATGCTGAGGTTTACTAAAAATAACACCAACAGGAGACAACTTGATTACGAATATAAATTCAGTAATTCACGGATTTAAGTGGCAGAATTAGCACATGGCGCTAACTATGACAAAGTGGCTACTTAACAAGAAAGGATACTGTTTCTAATCAGCAGAAGCCAGCAGTACAGTACACTTCCCTAGATAGAAATTCTTCCCTTATTCTGGAAAGAAAATGATGCACACATTCTATACGGTGCCAGAATTAGACCTTTAAGAAATTAATCTTATTGGACCACTGCAGGTGGAAATACAAAAGAGCATAATTTCGTAGTTGTAGGAACTAAAACTAATCTTTCAAATTCCACTTACATTAGCTAAGTTGATTACAGTAATCTGAGTTTGGTAAATCAAACTTTTAACAGTTCTGCGGTATTGTCACCACATAGATAGAAGGCTGCCCTTGAAGGGTATCTGAAAGCTTTAGCTGGTACAGAATACAGCAGCACAAATAGATTCTAGTTGATTATATTACCTATACTACCTCTGCTCTTTGAGCTTCATTGGTTGCCAATCAGTTTCCAGTCCAATTCAAGGTGCTAGTTCTGATCTTTAAAGCCCTACATGGCATGGGACTAGGTTATTGGAAGGATAGCCTCTCCTGATTACATATGCCATCCCACCAGATCCAGCAGACAGGATATGTCACCAACTGTAGTGCTATGCCTGAAGTGTCAAGGTAGTGAGTGTTCTCTGTTTGGGCATCTGCTTCATGGATTATACTCCATCCTTTCTCCTATTCATGTCTTCAAAGTGAGGCTGACTTCATCCCTCAAGACCTGGTTGTGCCATCAGGTTTGGGGAACCTCAAGGAAATATTGAAGTGGCTCTACTGTTGTTAATATCTCTTCTTTGCATACTCTTTATTCCTTTTTAGCTTTATGTTTTCTAAAATTTTAGAGCTTTTAATAATAGTAATAATACCCTTGTTTGTAAATATTCACATTGTTTTAGCTTTGTTGTATACTGCTCAGAGTCACTTGTTTGTGAGATTGGCGGCTATATAAATATGAACAATAAATAAATAGTAGTAATGTTAAAAAATAACCTTGGGATCTGCTCTTATTAATTAGTGATAACAAACTAAACCACATTTACTACCATAGTGAAAAATAAATAAAGATACTTTAGCTATAAATGTTAGAAAATAATGATTAACTTTCTTGTTTGCCTATCTCCGTGGATATGTCAGAACTTGGGAGATCCAGATGTTTTACATCTATCAAGTTTTTACATCTATCAAGTCTGTGTAATAAAAGTTAATAAAAGTGTCTCAATGACTCTTATTGTACTTGTCAGGTTTAAAATATCCAGTAATATCCACTCCCTTCCCTCCCAGCAGAAATTATAAACAGATTAATACCAAATTAGTAATCTATATACTGATGTTATTGGACTCCTATTGTAAAACATTGTCTAATGTACCAAGAGACTTCAATGCCTTTTCTTCAGCTAAGCAAAATGTCGGTAGAGTGTGATGGAAAGGGATAAAATATATTCTAGTCTTGTCAGGAAACTATTATAATTAAGAATGTTTACTGAGTCAAAATTATTAGCGATGTAATACTAAGGACATAGAGTTAACAAAGACCATATACTACTGTAATGTTAAGCATTTTTTGAAAAGTCAGAGTACATAGATTTAATAATTGTCCATCCTTACCAGTGGATCTTTTTCATTTAAAAAATAGTATAAAGCATTAGCAAGAACAAAACAAGAATAGATTGTCATATTGAAGCTTTGAGAAAGATACCTTTAAATAACCTCAGACAGAACCCTGTGTTCCAGTCCCGAGATAACGTTGGATGCATTGCTTAAATGGATTCTAGTCACATTTACTAAGTTCACAAAATGATATACCAAATGAAAATGGCAAATTTCCAGGCAGAGAACACACAGCTTCTGAGCTGAATAAAAGAAATGATGGCTATTCAGACTCAGTTTTAGATATAAATGAATAAAACAACAGATCTTCTTGAAGAGATACTACCTGTTATTTTCCCCATTCATAAGAATGGAACCATGTCTAGCCCTTCCTATTATCCATCAATCAGTTTAAGTACAGTTTGTACATTTATGCTGGGAATCTTATTTGGAGATAATTATGGTAAATTTGAAAACATTTTAGAAGATGAGTAGGCTGGCTTCAGAGAAGGAAAATCAACTATTAATGTACATTGTACCAGGTGGTTGAAAATATGGCCAAATCCAGTCATAAACTTCATGGGCGTTTTATTGACTGAACTCAGTCTTTGACACAAATTCTAAAAATAGATTTTGATATAAACTCTGGCCTTTTACAATTGATACATCTGCTGCTCTGAAATTTCTATAAAAACGCACCCCTTCAAATAACAATTATTTATAACAGCTGATTAGGTTTACTCCAACTTTGAAAAGGATTAAATAGAGTTTTATTCAAAACAGTTTTGATCTTCCAAACTGGCTAATTTTACTTCCAGGACATTCATCTGATTTAGACTGGAGAGAAACAATTATTTAACTGCATCTCCCAGCTTGAATCCTCTCCATCCACAAAAGATGACTGTAGCTTTATAATATAATGTATTGTAATATAATAATATAATGTGTAATATAATCACCCATCATTTTAGCCTTTTTATTCACAATTTATATGTGTGTTTCTCTGTACTTCTGTCAGCCTTCTTGAAGAAACCTTCATATATGCAGATTTTATCTTCTCAAATGGTGCCAATAAGATTAAACTAATAATCCAAGTGCTATTACAATGATTTTAATGGAGAAATGTTTTATTCAAAGGATCACCTCTCTCTTAGCTAAGACACCAGGAATGACTAAAGCCTATTATCTATAACATATATCAAATTTTTGCTAAATATTCAATGTCCAAAAGACAGAATTTTCTTCTGAAACATAGTCAGTATATAAATTGATTATATGTGAATGATATGTGCTGCCTCTCTGTGTTACATATACAATATGAATTAATTATTGAAATAAGTTGCTTACTTTAAAATATTGCCATAATAGCAACTAACCAATATAAATAATTTCTTAATAGTAAGCAAAAGAATGGTGTCCATTACTATACATTAATATTTGCAGATGTTAGCTTTGTTTTCCAAATTCTAGGAGAAATGTGATATGCTGATGTGAGTTTTTAATGCAACAATTTGAATGTAAATGTATTAACTTTGTTGGCATATCAGCATATTTTAAATATAGAATTGGATCCTTGATAAGATCATCTCTGATATTTCATGAACTGTCAATGATCTAATATTGATTTCTGCACTGTACTGTGAAATAAAAAGTACCATTACTTCCAGCCAACAAATATTGCCAGTATACCAATTTATAAAATACTTAAAACACATATACTTTAATACATGTATTTAGCTCTCTTCATAGAGACCATAGAAATAAGCTTTCTTTCATGACAATTTGTACACTACTATTTGTTTTATCTCTACGGGTTTTTAAGGTTAGCCCAAAAGTGTATTTTAAGAGGCAACTGGACTTTCTGTTTTTCTTTGAAGACATTTCACTTCTCATCCAAGCTCTGGCTGGCTGGCTGGTGGGGAATGGAAGGATTTATGCTCCTTGAAGACAGCTGGTCATTTGGAAGGAGTATAAATCCTTCAATTCCCCACCATCCAGCCAGAGCTGAAGAAGCTTCTTGGATGAGAAGCGAAATGTCTCCAAAGAAAAACCAGAAAGTCCTGTTGCCTCTTGAAAAAGCACCTTTGGAACAACACATATCCTTAAAATTAAATAGCAAGACTTGCATTTGGTAGAGATACTGATTATCCTCTAAAGCATTACCTGGGTAATTTCAAGGAAAAGGATTTTTGTCTGATCCCATGCATTTTTATTAATCATGCATTTCCCATTTTTGGTTGTTTTGGTGACTAGGTTGGTTGTAATCTTTTAAAAAGGTATAATCCAGCCAGAGAATCCCAGGTAATTTTTTTAAAAAATTGAAAGTATAATTAAGACTGATAACGTATCACTGTTACTCAAGAAGTTCTCAAAATCACTTTGGGGAACTAAACACTTATTTGTTTCATGAAAACTTATTCGGGACTTTAAACAAAGTGTACCACCTATTTAAACAACCCCCACCCCTTTTAAGGGTTTTATTTGTGTGGTCCACAAAGATGAAAACCACCTAGAATGCATATGGGTCAATTCAAAAGAAAAAAAAGAATGACATGGCCATAGGTGTATATTATAGGCCATC